AGCGTTTACCGCGTCATCCTCAACTATTCCGTCCCCGCCATCACTCAGGTCGCCATTATTCTCTAAAGATGGATAGTTGAAACAATCCTTCTCAATACGTTCGATTTTTTTCGATGAAAGACAGATTTACATACGTCATAGCCACATTAAATAAGTCGTCTGGAGGATCACATATATTTTCTACTTGCGCAACCGTTCCATCTTTTACTGTCGTGTGACAAACCAACGCATCCTCCACTGCCCTGATCACCGTCCTGTCATCAAGTTCCTGTGGACAACCACTATTCCTGTCTTCCTTATTATTCCGAATTCCCTTCAATGTACATCCATCTCCTCGTCCTCCACATTACTCAAAGACAGGTACAGGTTCATTCCAGGTTTCTCCTTCTTCAAATACTTGGATTTTTGTAAAGCGCTTTCCTAATCTATAGTCACAGGAGGCATTCGCATCTGTGACAACACCGTCTCTTCCGACTCGTGCCAGAAACTTAAACTTGGTTTCTGTCTCTCCGGACACAAACAAAATAACTTCGCCACCTTCATGTTTACCTCCTCCAAACTTTGCTTCTCATGGACATCCATACATTTGCAGAAAATGTATTTCTTTATACGAAAATGCCATTGTCCCTGCTCCAAATATTCCCAGTCACCTACGATTATGAAGACAGAAGATTCCATTGTATAAATGCTTTCGAAAAATCAGTGAACGACCATTAACTCCGACAGATTATGTCCATCAAACACCTGCATTTATTCCAGGAAACACATTTAATTTCACATTAACTACAAGTAAACAATTTGACAAACTTTTAAAAATCGGAACATTTACAGAACTTTTTTATGCCGAGATTATTCACAACCTCCAACAAAATCCTTCACCTCAACAACTTCATCCCATTACCTCGGTACCGTCAATAATCAGATAAAAAAATTAATTTAATCAATTAATAATGGCTTGTACTTTGCTCTAAACTTTTTCAAATGTCCCGCTCGTGTTCCCAAACACTCAACGCGAAGATTACACATAAGCAAAGGCAAATTCGCCACTCCATCTCCCTCGTACAGTGAGTTGTGACATTTCCTGCAATCCATCTAATTTATGGCATTTTCTGTAAGATTTTCGCCAACAATGGCATTTTTCGTAAAATTCTCAATAATTATTTCCAAAAATAAATTCCTACAAAAATGCTCTAACGTTTCTAAAGACTATAGTATTATATTATTATATGTATAAATTATAATACTTCATAGGTTATCGTTAACTTTCCGCATATCCTCATTATGAAATAAAATGAAATGATAAGTTGACTTTCTTAAACATTCCTTAATCATGTATCATCTCAATATATAATCTCTAACTCTAAATATATATAGTTCTTTTAGAAATATGATTTCTAAGAATTATAACATCTGTCAAATGCTTAAGTGCACTTTTCTATCCATAGTTGTTGATGATATATATTTGTAAACTAGAGATATCCTGTGAATTTAATGCTCATAAACGGACAAATTAAATAGTTATATGATAAACATCAAAAACAGAAAATTATGTGTTGCAATATTATTAGTGTTATTATTAGATTTTAGTCAAATCTAAAGGAAACATAGATATATATTAATTTG